AGAGCCGCTGCAGAGCCGTGTCAGTGACAGCCAGCACCCTTACATGCCATAGCGACCCAGGCGGCCCACACAGCATCAGAGGGATGCCCTGGCCGGGCCCCCCCTGTGCTCGGGCCGCCTGGGTCGCTATGGCTATTGTTACGCCACTGAGTACAACCCTCAAATTTTTGTCAATATTGGATGATATCGTGTCATGTGACGACACAGAAGAACTGACACTTGGTTACAATGTAACGTAGTGAGTGTACAGCTTGTATATCAGAGTACATTTGCTGTCCCCAACACACCGCCATTAATGTCTAAACCGCCGGCAACAAAAGTGAGTACACCCCTAAGTGACAATGTCCAAATTGGGCCCGAAGTGTCAATATTTTGTGTGGCCGCCATTATTTTCCAGCCCGGCCTTAACCCTCTTGGACATGGAGGTCACCAGAGCTTCACAGGTTGCCTCTGGAGTCCTCTTCCCCTCCCCCATGATGACATCACGGAGCTGGTGGATGTCAGAGACCTTGCGCTCCTCCACCTTCCGTTTGAGGACGCCCCACAGATGCTCAATAGGGTTTAGGTCTGGAGAAGCGCTTGGCCAGTCCTTCACCTTCACCCTCAGCTTCTTTAGCAAGGCAGTGGTCGCCTTGGAAGCGTGTTTGGGGTCGTTATTAGGGATGCACCGATACTAGTATCGATGCCGATACCGAGCATTTGGGCAGGTACTCATACTCGCCCAAATGCTCCGATGCCTAGCCCGATACTTCCTGTATCAGGGAGTCAGGCAGCGCATCATTACACGCTGCCCGGCTTCCTGATTGGCCGGGAAGACGGCTCCATGCTCCCTCGTCACTTGTGCATGCCCTACGCGGACATGTTCATTCGGATCAGATAGTAGGGGAAGGCAGGGTTGGTTTTATTTATTTATCATTAAATTAGACCCCTGATGTCTCCCCTGCCCTCTAATACAGACGATCAAGCCCCAGATTGTGCTCGATCATCTGTTTACTCGGCACTTCAGCCGGGTTTTGACTGCAGCAGCGAGCGCTGAGAGCGCAGTGCTTCCTGCTTCACTCAGCAAAGGGCAGATTGGGGAATGGACGTTCCCCGGCCTGCTCCCGCTCTCTATCCCTGACACTGTGCCCCCCCAGAGGAGCAGGGCCCCCCAAAAACCACGATGTAGGTGGTGTGTGGAGGCAGGTTGCGGCACAATCGCAGGCTAGTACAAGTGATCGGGCTGCACAGCCACCCAGATCACTTGTAGTTGAAGCTGGCGTCCCGGCCTGACCTCACTGGCTGCTAGGACGCCATTCACTGAAGCAGAGGGAAGGCCTACGCCGGGTTATTACTGGCAGTGGATGCATTGGCCTTGGACGCCGGCATATGCACTGTCACCCAGCCATAGCCCAGTGCAGGTCAGCGATCGTGGACCGGACAGGACCACTGTCGGAACGTGTCCGGACCGTGGTCCACTATTGAGGGAACCCTGTTCTAATGTAATCCGTACATTATGATACGAAATCCATTTATAAACACATTTTACCTTCTTCAACGTACGTATGTATGTATGTATGTATGTATGTATGTATGTATGTATGCATGTATGTATGTATGTATGTACGTACGTATGTATGTATGTATGTATGTATTCAACATGAGAAAGGTGAAACATTGATACTTACTGGCAGAAGCATCCCAGAATTTGACTGATCCATCGGCATGCCTGGGAACAGAATGTGAACAATCATGAATGCACAGGAATATTGGAATGTATGGTATAGAGCAGCGGTTCTCAACCTGTGTAACCTCAGGACCCACATTTGTCCTCGGTCATTAAGTCGCAAACCAAGTCGAACTGCAGTGGAACGCACGGCAGTGTGGGCTGCGTTGCTGTGATGGAGCTCCATCCATATGTGCATTGCTTGTACAGCTCCCATGCGCACCTGTAGAGGTGCTGGGAGCCAGAATGTGACGTCACTCCAGTCCAGGCGCCTCTACAGGACATGCGAAGGAGCTATAAGCAACGCACGTATGGATGGAGCTCCCTCGTGGCCGTACCCTCAGCCCACTCCACCTCAAGCTGACACTCGGCCCCGGGCAGCATATTTTGAATGGCTGCTCGGTGTGAGAATGGACAATGCTGCATCAGGGGAAGCCTCTCACCTAGAAAAGTGGAAGGCATGCGGCGAGACACTGAACACAGGGTGGCAACCCACTTTTGGGTCACGACCCACAGGTTGAGAACCAAGGGTATAGTGCCTTTGTTCTCAACTGGTGGGTCGTGACCCAAAAGTGGGTCGCGACCCCGTGTTCAATGGGTCGCCACATGCCTTCCACTTTTCTAGGTGAGAGGCTCCTCTGCCTCCCCCTAGCACAGCACTGTCAGTTCTCGCTCCAAGCAGCCATTCAAATTATGCTGCCCAGGGCCGAGTGTCAGCTGGAGGTGGGGTGGGGCTATGGCCACGAGGGAGCTCCATCCATGCATGCGTTGCTTACAGCTCCCTTACGTGTCCTGTAGAGGTGCCTGCACCGGAGTGACGTCACATTCTGGCTCCCGGCACCTCTACAGGGCACGCAAGGGAGCTGTACCAGCAACGCACATATGGAGGGATCTCCGTCACAGCACAGCACCCCACACTGGACCCCAGGCTGAGGATCCCCTCCAGTTCTTGTGAGGTAAGGAGACTGGGCGGGCCTACCGTGTGTTTTGGTGTGGGAGGTGTGTTGTGTTGCCATTTATCTCAATGGCACCCCAAACGCACCTCCCACCCACAGTTCCATCACCCGCACCTGAATGCGCAGTGGCGCAATGCCGTGCGACTTGGGTCACGACTTAATGACCGAGGACAAATGTGGGTCCTGAGGTTACACAGGTTGAGAAGCGCTGCTTTAGAGGATAAAAGGACTGTAATAAAGACAATACATGTAAATACTGAAGAGGTTACATAGTATTTGAGGTTGAATAAAGACGTTAGTCCAACAAGTCCAACCTATTAGGAATCCCCCCAGATCAAATTAAAAGGATGTCACAAGTCAGCCAATTGGATTTCTCCTCCAAGCTGAAGACCATTTCAGGTGAAGGAATTGGGGTGATCTGAGGGGTGAAGGTGCAGGAATGGGGGTGATCTGAGGGGGGAAGGTGCAGGAATTGGGGATGATCTGAGGGGTGAAGGTGCAGGAATTGGGGATGATCTGAGGGGTGAAGGTGCAGGAATTGGGGATGATCTGAGGGGTGAAGGTGCAGGAATTGGGGATGATCTGAGGGGTGAAGGTGCAGGAATTGGGGATGATCTGAGGGGTGAAGGTGCAGGAATTGGGGATGATCTGAGGGGTGAAGGTGCAGGAATTGGGGATGATCTGAGGGGTGAAGGTGCAGGAATTGGGGATGATCTGAGGGGTGAAGGTGCAGGAATTGGGGATGATCTGAGGGGTGAAGGTGCAGGAATTGGGGATGATCTGAGGGGTGAAGGTGCAGGAATTGGGGATGATCTGAGGGGTGAAGGTGCAGGAATTGGGGATGATCTGAGGGGTGAAGGTGCAGGAATTGGGGATGATCTGAGGGGTGAAGGTGCAGGAATTGGGGATGATCTGAGGGGTGAAGGTGCAGGAATTGGGGATGATCTGAGGGGTGAAGGTGCAGGAATTGGGGATGATCTGAGGGGTGAAGGTGCAGGAATTGGGGATGATCTGAGGGGTGAAGGTGCAGGAATTGGGGATGATCTGAGGGGTGAAGGTGCAGGAATTGGGGATGATCTGAGGGGTGAAGGTGCAGGAATTGGGGATGATCTGAGGGGTGAAGGGGCAGGAATTGGGGTGATCTGAGGGGTGCAGGTGCAGGAATTGGGATGATATGAGGTCTACGTTCACCGGTACAATGGTTGTCTAGAGCTTGTAAACTGACACTTAATGTGAAGAAGGTTGGGGACCCCGGGCTCTAGAACGTGGTCAGAGAACAGTCTCAGCATCTATGAGCATCATAAAATATCGGCAGCTCATGTCTGAGTCTACTGAAGGGCCGTGTTGTCTTCCTTACCCTGTAACAATCATTTCTGGGTAGGCTGTAGTTCCAAGGTTCCATATTCCTCCCGTTATCGGCCATTCCTGCACAGTACAGAATGAAAACAATCGTTATACTTCCTGGTTACACCATCCCCCGCTTTGACATGATCACCGCTCAAGCTACAGGATGTAAACTTCTACGTTATATACATTATGTACACGCTGTGCTTTGTAGTTCTGCATAGTGATTGTTCCTCTACTGCTTCTCTCTCTATCATTCTCAATGCACGGCCATGGACCGAGCCTGACTAACAAGAGACACTTAGTGAGGCGCGCCATGAGAACGCCATGTGTGCGCTACACTGGAAATACAGGAAAACGTCCCATTAAAGATAACGATCGCCATAGCGACCCAGGTGGCAGCTATGGGGCCCGGGCACGGGGTGGGGGGGCCCAGCCAGGGCCGCCTGGGTCGCTATGGCATGTAAGGGTGCTGGCTGTCACACGGACCGCTCTTCCCCCCGGTCTCCGAGTTGTATTACCTTGTTGCTGCATCCTTGTTTTTTGTGCTTTGCTCCCACCGAATAGAGCACTGGGATGAGGTCAGGGGGGCAGTCCGCGAAATACTCCGTACAGGTGACAGGAGACTCATGGATGTCCATGGAGTGAGGGTTCTCGAAGATTGGAAAACTGACGGAAAGTGTAAGTCGGTTAGTTGGTTGGTCGGTCGGTGTGGATTTAGATAAAGCAGATAATGTGATTGTGAGCGTAAAAATAAAAAAAAAACATTAAAGCCTCCCGAAAAAATGTTTTCTCAATGTCTGCGCCCTTTGTCCGGTACAGTTTTCCCTTTTTGATAAATTAACTTGTGGATCCTTCAACTCTGACTTCCTAGTTCTGGGTGGCAACAACGTGCAGGCTCATCCGGCGTCTGCAGCATTGCCACCGCAGCGCGCATGCTCCCGGGATACCATACCCAAAATTGACCATTTACCGCTCACCGGTTTAGTGTTGTCAGTGATTGATGAGCCTAGAATTATTGCTATATGTAACATGTGCGGCACAATCGTCGTTTTCGCACGTAGGAGCACCCGACGCATGATTGCACGCATTTATGTATGGGCAGGATTTTTTTTTTAAATGTTTTATTATTTTTTATGTGTAACTTTAAATTATAATTTTTTGCAACTTTCATTTTTTTTAAACTATTTTTTTTTTTATCACTTAAAGGAGAAGTATGAGGTCAATGTTTTTCCCCATAGTTCTCCTCAGGGTAACGGGAGGAGACAAACTAGCGTCCTCCCGTCACCCTAGGCTCAGTATACCACAAGCTACAGCTCTCTATATACTGAGACCGCCGCAGCTGAAGCGGATCCCGACAATTATGTCTAGATCCGCCCAGCTGCGTGACTGACAGCTGGCTCTGCCTATCTAGAGGCAGAGCACCCTCCCCCCCCCCTCATAGCTCTCCTTTAACTTTATTGTTATCACATAGACGGCTAAGAAACCCGACTATGTGATAGCAAAGAGGATGTGACAGGTCCTCTTTATGGAGACATCAGGGGTCTTCAAGATAGGCAGAGCCCGCCGTCACTCACGCAGCTGGGTGAATCTCGTCACTAATGTCAGGGTCTGCTGCAAAACCACGCCTACTAACAATATAATGCGTGACAAAAGAAGATAGTATAATGCACAGCAAATATAAACGTTCATGGTTGCCGGCAGCACAGCGAACATCATTTCATTGGTGGATGCAGGACAGGAAACGCATGGGGCATCTTACTTGCTCTGTGTGAGATCCACCACGATAAGGTCCCTCTCCATCAGCACAGCCACGGCGTACGGTTCCTGGAATTCTAGGAGCAGAAAGAAGTGAATTGAGTTTCCCGCTCCGGCCGTAATCGGAACCAAACTAATAAGTTAGAGAAATGACGCAATTCCTCATTCCACATCTTCCTCTTCTTACGCGTCTGATATTCCAGTGCATGGCAGATGCTGGAGAGTTAAACTGCCTACAGGCCCGGATTCCCCACAAGGCCACCAGGGCCCGGCCTCGGGGCGGCAGCACGCAGAGGGGCGGCAGCGGTGTCCTTGTGGGGAAGTTGCCCTCTCTACATTCAGTCCTGCTTTGTACAAGCCGAGTTACATGTAGAGTGAGGGAAGCCGATTGTTCGTTTACATGTGAACTCAGCGATGTCACTGAGATGACATGTAAACAGTGTGCAGCCTCCTCCCCTCCCCCCCTGCACTTACCTCTCAGCCGAGTCTCTCCTCGCTGCAGGGAGCAGAGTGGCACGGTTAAAAGTAACCCCACCGCTCCGTGTAGACAGTGAGAGGGGAGAGCTGTGCCGTGCTGTGCCGTGCTCTTCCTCTCTCGCCTGTCACAGGAGTTGCAGCACGGCGCTGCGCTAGAACTCCTGTATTGGAGGTGACGGGGTCAATAAAGAGAACCTGTCACGTCCAATTGCTATCACACGGGGGATTGTTTTCTCCTGTGTGATAGCAATAAAGTTAGGTGGGAAAAAAAATTAAATTGATAAAAAAAATTAAATAAAATAAAAAGGTGATTTAAAAAGTAAAAATTAATAAGAAACAAATGATTAAAATAAGAAAATAATTATAAAAAATGAACAATAATAAGATTAAAAAAATCTAAAAAAATAGTTACATAAATAAAAATCGCGCATCGCAGAACCTGGCCTTGGGGCGGCAGAGAGAGTAAATCCGGCCCTGACTGCCTACTGGTTTATTTTATTTTTTTGGAGGAGTCTGGCATTGAGATATCTGCGGTCGGTCTGCACTTCTGTACCGGCCATTCAGAGGGGGTGCCACATTTCCTGAGAGCACCCCACTCTACTACGAGAGCTCAGGAAGATATTGCCACTACAGGGCTTCCACTGGGAACATGGAGGATGAATTGCTCCACAGCGCCTGCAGCTACAGAGGTCAGTGAGCGCTTGATTTGATGCGCATCTGTGATCTACCGAAGGTGTAAATAGCCTGGCCACAGACAGTGGCGTCACAATGGGGGTGTGGACCGCAGCCGGGTGCCACCATTGGAGGGGTGACACCAAAATGACTGACAGTCATTTTGGTGTCACCCCCTATGAAAAGTCAGGCGCTCGGTCACAGACTGAGAGCCCGACAGTGTTCAGGAGAGAGGAGGGGACCCGGCGGAATACCTCATCCCGCCCGGGTGAAGGCCCCCGTCCTCTCTCTCTGCCGGGGTCCAGCACCAAGATGGCAGCTGGCAGGCGCCAATAAGACAACCACGCATCAAGATGACGTCATCGCGCACAGCAACAGCACGCGCAATGACGACGCGGCGGGGTGTCACCCGGTCTCTGCCCCGGGTGACACCCCGCCTCGGGACGACCCTGGCCACAGATTCACATGCGACTCTCTCACACAATGCAGTGCTTGGAGCCTGAATGGCCAATCACCTGGCCAAAGTACTGTCACTGGGGGGCCTGTATAGACTCGTTAGCCATTTGTAGACTCCAACCAGATCACCTTGCAGCATTAACAGGGTTTTTTTTTCTCTTTGTTTCTGCAGACACAATGTTCACAGGGGACAAAGACAAAATACATATAAGCATCATGGAGGACAGGTCTTCAAGTGAACCTGCCCCTTTCTCCTGCAGGGGTGAAGCACTATAAGCCAGCCAGGTTTTGCCTACATTTGAGCTGTAACGGGGATGCAGTGGGAGGACCTACATGACTATTCATAAATGAAAAGGACAGTTTCGGACAAGCTTGAGGAGGCCTGGGGCCTTCCCGGTCTGTACCGCTGCAAACCAGCAGTTTAGGTAGACCCGCACACTACATTACTCTTGTTTAAGGGCAGGATCACACCATTTTCCGGTCCAGATCTGGTCTGGAAATTGGTGTGAACCTGCCCGCAGTTCCAGTGCATTCCAGACCAGACAGAATGAGACGTGCAGTATTTTCTGGTCTGGTCTGGAACGGACTGCGCTGGTGTGAACAGAGGCCAGAAATAGCAAAGGGAGACATTAGGATGCACGTTGGGTCCAGAAACAATCTGGTCTGCTCTGGAGATGATCTGGATGTGGTGTGAATGGGCCCTTAAAGGAGAACTATGGGGTCAGGGCTTCTCCACATAGTTCTCCTAAGGGTCACAGGAGGACATAAACTAGCGTCCTCCCGTCACCCAAAGCTCGGTATAACGCAAGCTACAGCTCACTATATACTAAGACCGCCGCAGCCGGGACGGATCCCGACATTACGGTCGAGATCCACCCAGCTGCATGATTGACAACTGGTTCTGCCTATCTAGAGGCAGAGCCAGCTGTGCCCAGCCCACTCCCCCGTCCGTTCCGCCAGTCAGCGCTGGAGGATCGGAGCGGGGAGGAGTGGAATCCTTGCAGGGAGCCGTGAGTGACAGTCACGGCTCTCTGCAGGGACAGGATCGAGAAGTGAGCGAGCGACGGTATGTGTTCTCTCACCTCCCGATCTATTGAGTCGACGTGTGACCGTTTCATTGTCACACGTCGGATCCAACTATGAGGATGAGTGAAAAGCCCCTCCCCCTCATAGTTCTCCTTTAAACTGATGAAGACACGCAGGATCGTTTCCCAGCCCAACAATCTTCACTTACCGTTGGAATAGGGTGTTTCACAAAGGGTTAAAAAGTCCACAATGGGGTGATCCATCTCCAGAACGGTGATGGCCTTTCCGTGCATGATGGTCAGGCTCGGTCTTCTGCTGGCCTTATCGTAGGACAAGCCGCCGGAGAATATGATAAACGGCTCGCTGCAATACAAGTCAAACACAAGGCAGCTGTTTATACACACCGAGAAGGCAGGGAGCGCGTGTGTGATATTAATGTGGACTGCCTCAGTGCCCCCGTCTAATGGATTCCGGGATAAGCTATTGTTCCACATACATGAAATCGTGTTAACATCTTCCACACACACACATAATAATCTTTGTAATCTGTTTCCGAGGTCAGCAGAGTGACATGTTGTATGTGACAATAGTACGCTGAGCAGCATATAGGAACATGTACGCATACTCTTCCTCAGCTCTGCGTATCAATGGTGGGACGAGCTCCATAGGCCCCCCCAAGGAGGAAGAAAGAAAAGGCCAAAGTGAGCCAACAGCCTCCATGGAACGTGAACTACTTCAGAATCATAGGTTGCAGGTCCTGGACTTTTTTTTGCGCCTCCTGCTTAAGCACCCAAGGCGGCCACCTTTGCCGCCTACCCTTCAGCCCGGCCCTGGATCTAACTGGCTGCAGAGACTTCTTACGGCACAATCCTTACACTACCCAGGGGCCACTCAAAAGGCACTTTTTGGGCACAATAAGTGCTGGTTTAGCCCTCATTCACACTAGAAAAGGCCGGCGCGTACAGCTCCGTGCAAGGCCGTATCGGGCAGCTCCCGGAAGGACAGGTGCTGCGTGTGATTAGTACGAAGCCCCCGACCTTCTCTATGGGACTACGCGGCCGTACGTCGTTACTAAAACTGGAGCAGACAGAATCTGTAGCAGCTGTGCATAGTAACCAATCAGATTCTCGCTTCAGTTTGTTCGGTTAAGCAATGAAAGCTGGAAGCTGATTGGCTGCCGTGCACAGCTCCAGATTTCGCCTGCTCCGGTCCTAGTGAATTCCCCATAATAACTATACACCGCACCCTATACATACTTCAAGTGAATTACCATCTTGTCTTGAATTGTATTGTGATTGTAATGTCTGCCCTATATTGTAAAGCGCTGCGCACACTGTTGCCGCTATGTAAGTCCTGTGAAATAATAATAATTTCAAACATATGAAAGGTGTACAAAGTTTTTCTCCCCCTTCGAGTAAAACTCAAGTTTCCATTCTGGCGCATGAAAGGGATACTTAAAATGTTGCCATTCTGATTACTCCCAATGGTATGATGGTATGACCAATCCGGGCAGAGCACTCGGATGTCCCAAATACTACCTGTAAACCAAAGTTATAAATGTATCCACCGGGGGAAGTTCAGACACATAAATGGGATGTTGATCCACATCGGAATTTACAATTCTGATGAATCCCACTCTGGATACATATTAAACTGACTCTTCTAGCTAAGGTATAATCCATGGGTGGGCAAACTCTGGCCCTACAAATCCCATCATGCATCTGTGGGTCATGCCTGTGGCTGTCAGAGTCTTGCAAAGCCTCATGGGATTTGTACTTGCACCACAGCTGGAGGGCCGGAGTTTGCCTTCAATCCACACGGCTGGTTATCCCGACTAATGTTTATAATCCGGGATTACAAAAGGTATCCGCCGCGAATGTCCATCATCCTGTATAGATCATGCAGTACAGTCAGGTACCGTCTCAATGTACGCTATATACAATGGAGATCCAGTGCAGGAGGGTTATGCCCGAGTAATGATTTGTGCTAGTCACACCGAATCTAGAGCGCGCACACACCTACAGAATACACCACAATGCACATCTTCAACCATCTTCTAATTCACCAGCTCCTCTTTCATTTAACCCATGTGACCTACTCCCCTTTCACATTACCTACTCCCTTTCCAGTTGACCTACTCCCCTTCCAGGTGACCTACTCCCCTTTCCAGTTGACCTACTCCCCTTCCAGGTGATCTACTCCCCTTCCAGGTTACCTACTCCCCTTCCAGGTGATCTACTCCCTTTCCAGTTGACCTACTCCCCTTTCCAGGTGACCTACTCCCCCTTCCAGGTGACCTACTCCCCTTTCCAGTTGACCTACTCCCCTTCCAGGTGATCTACTCCCCTTTCAGGTTACCTACTCCCCTTTCCAGTTGACCTACTCCCCTTCCAGGTGACCTACTCCCCTTCCAGATGACCTACTCCCCTTCCAGGTGACCTACTCCCCTTCCAGATGACCTACTCCCCTTCCAGGTGATCTACTCCCCTTTCCAGTTGACCTACTCTGCTTTCAAGTGACCTACTCCCCTTTCAGGTGACCTGCTCCCCTTTCAGGTGACCTAATCCCCTTCCAGGTGACCCACTCCCCTTTCAGATTACCTACTCCCCTTTCCAGTTGACCTACTCCCCTTCCAGGTGACCTACTCCCCTTTCAGGTGACCCACTGTCCTTCCATGTGACCTGCTTTCCTTCTGTTTCTAGTTATGGGGGTGCATGTGACCTATTCCCGTAACGTAACCCATTTGCCTTCTCTTTCACCCATTTTTCTTTCATATGATCTATTTTTTCCCCTCCCCTTCCATGATACCCATTCTTGGTGTATAGTGGGGAGAAAAAAAGGTTGGACGCCCGTCACTTAAATCTTTTATTGCTGAACTCAACACTAGGAGTGAGGGTTTAGGGGTGCGGGATACCAAAAAAGCACAAAAATAGCACAGGTCATCCAAAAGTAGCAGGACCTTTAATAGCATCCTCTTGGTAATTTCTGGCCACGTGAGAGGAGCCGGACAGATCTATGACCCTGTAAGGGCAGTCACAGTCTAACTTAAATTGCACTGTCTCGCTCTCTAATCAATCTGGCCCTTGACCCATTGGACACCTTGACTTGCAGGCAATAATTCCTACTTGCAATGTTAACAAGTAGCTTCCACCCAACTCCACTGTGACACTCTTCAGCAAAGGAGATTGCTCCTGACAGATGCTGCCTACAGGCAGCCATCTTTTACCTTACCGCCCTCTAGAACCTTGGTTCTCAACTGGTGGGTTGTGACCCAAAAGTGTGTCGCGACCCCGTGTTCAGTGGGTCACCGCATGCCTTCTACTTTTGTAGGTGAGAGGTTCCTCTGCCTCCCCCTAGAGCAGCACTGTCAGTTCTCGCACCAAGCAGCCATTCAAATTATGTCCGAGTGTCAGCTTGAGGTGGGATGGGGCAATGGCCACGAGGGAGCTCCATCCATGCATGCGTTGCTTACAGCTCCCTTACGTGCCCTATAGAGGTGCCTGCACCGGAGTGACGTCACATTCTGGCTCCCGGCACCTCTACAGGGCACACAAGGGAGCTGTACAAGCAATGCACATATGGATGGAGCTCCATCACAACACAGCAGCCCACACTGGACCCCAGGCTGAGGATCCACTCCAGTTCTTGTGAGGTAGGGAGACTGGTTGGACCCACCGTGTGTTTCGGTGTGGGAGGTGTGTTGTGTTGCCATTCATCTCAATGGCACCCCAAACGCACCTCCCACCCACAGTTCCATCACCCGCACAGGAATGCGCGGAACAGCAATGCAGTGCATTCCATTGCAGTGTGACTTGGGTCACGACTTAATGACCGAGGACAAATGTGGGTCTTGAGGTTACACAGGTGGGGAACCACTGCTCTGGATATACAAAGGTCCAGGCCTCGGCACATGCCCCGCACGAAGCAAGGCCCAAAGGGGAAAATGCTCTGATGTAGACATACTCCCCAGGCAGAATCCAAGGATGTGCGACTACGGCTAAGGCTCAGTCGTGGGGCTGAAACGTGTCAGAAGTTTGTTATTGACGGTTTTTATGCCTTTTTTGGGAATAAATTGATATTATTGGGCCAATCCCGTTTTGAGTGCTAGTTTTCAATGGATTTAAGGCTTAGGTCGGAAGCCTTACCTGGTGCCGAGGTTCCATTGGCGGAATGTGGATGTGTGAGAGTTGAGCCGTTCCATTTCGGTCTATTTTCAGTATGTGAATACCGCCGAAAATGTGCTCCAAACATTTATCAAATCCCCAAACCAAACCTCTGAACACAGACCTCAGTGAGGCTGGGTTCACACCTCAGCGTATTGGAAACTCGCGTTTGCCACGCGTTTCTTACCGCGCGGTTTTACAGCGATTTGCGGTAAAAGAAAGGTGCGTCAAACGCGAGTTTCCGAGGGGGTACCCGGCTGATAACAGCGGGATACGGGCGTCGATACGCCCCAAAGAAGCTCATGTACTTCTTTGGGCGTATGGCGTTTTACCGCGCGATTGAACGGGCGTTAAAACGCGCAGGTGAGAACCATGCCCGTAGGCAAACATGGGTTTTCAACTGTTGCGCGTTTTACCGAGCGTAGGAACGCGCGGTAAAACGCTCAGGTGTGAACGGGGCCTGATTCTTTGGTCCTGACAAATGTTCATAATCCTGTGATTGTCCCGTCCCCCCCGTCCCCCACAGTCCCAGGTAGAAGCAATCGACACACGGAGCTCAGGAGAACGAGCAGAGAGCAGACAAATGTCAACAGAGCTCGGGCTGGTTACAGCGTAGCATCAAAATAAACAAAATTTAGTTTGGGACGCTCCAGCTTAGGGCAGAACCCCAACATACATTTTATTTATTACTGAATGCATACCTAGGCTAAAGCGTGATTTTATATTTAGATTTGCTCTAATGTCATTCTTTATAGATAAAACTGAATTGGGGGGTCCAGTGGAAGGCCCGTGGCATCCTGCGTTTCCAGATGGCTTCCCACCTCCCAGTGTCGGGCAGTGATTTGCAGACAGGGAGACTATAAGAACTGATATCTTTTATTTATGGGCCGGTGGATACCGGGAAGCAGTGAACGATGGTTTATCTGAGATCAGCAAACTGTACATGAATCATACATTAAGAACATAATAAGGCCGCTGTGTGAATAATGGTTCTCTTTACAGGTATTAATCACTATTATGCTGCACGTTAACCGAGCTGGTAAGATTGCCACGCGCAGAACCATTATTCATAACTGCAGACGAAGGAGAGACCGAAATGTGTTATAAGAAGTTCTGATACAGGGAGGTGTCATTTATGGGTGGGGGAGGAACTAAAAGCCATAGAACCCTAGTGCAGAACGTGAACACAGCCCCCCCCCCCTGCATGTCACAAAAGCCACTAAAGTGGACCTGTGCTTTGCCTATAAAAGAAAAACGAAATGGTTTACTTTAACAGCAGCCCCACCAGCTGCATATACTTACCCTCCCCCTCACTGCTCCGCCAATTGGTT